TGGACTATTCCAAGTTATACCAGGGGACTATTCAGTCATGACCAGGGACCCTGGTTTTCTCTTATTAAAAAAATCCCCCATTTTTGGATATAAACCCTGCCCCAAAATCCACTTGAAAACACTCAGAAGCTTTATATATCATATAGTTTCATAGTTTCTACGGTCCAAAGGGACCTCAACAGATAATCAAGTCCGACCCCCTGCCATGGGCAGGAACAAGTTCTGGGATCATAATATTCCAGCCAGATATCTATCCAACCTTCTCTTGAAGACCCCCAAGGTAGGGGAGAATACCACCTCCCTTGGGAGCCCATTCCAGAGCCTGGCAGCCCTAACTGTAAAGTAATGCCTCCTGATATCAAGCCTGAACCTGCTCTCAATCAATTTCTGGCTGTTATTCCTTGTTATCCCAGGTGGTGCCCGAGGGAACAGAGCCTCACCTATTTTCTGCTGGTCCCCCTGGTGAGTTTATAGACAGCCACCAGATCCCCTCTCAGTCTTCTCTTGTGGAGGCTGAATAGATTCAGGCCCTTTAGTCTATCTTCGTAGGGCCTGCCCCGCTGCCCCCTGACCTCCTCTGGACCCTCTCAAGGGGTTATTTATGAGAAAATACTGTGCTGGCTGTAAAATGGGCCACCACATAATGACCTGTAACATGTACTCACTAATGGGTTATAATATAATTAGTTACACATCACTGCATAATGGTAGATGATATCAGCTATCTCTATACTCACTGAATAAACAGTTTTGTTTTTTACAGCATGTAACTAGCATCTCTCAAAAGAAAAATCAGTAAGGATAGTTGCTTAAAGAGATCAAAATGTCCTACAGTATAGATTACCAGACAATTTTTGTTTTCCTTTTTCTGAGGCAAGTGGTTCAAGACAACCAAGCATTAAGTCAATGCCATTTCAAAATCACAGCTATAACTCTTCTAAGTGCTAGTACTAACCATTTTAGTGGCTAGTACTCCCACTTCCCCAAAATTTGCAGCTGCAGGAAGCAAATTGGTATGAGTAAATGCAGTGTTGGAGGGATGTTGTAGCCACGATAAATGCAGGAAATATGCAAGAGGCAAGGATATTTTTAAGAGGTGATGTTTTTTATTGGACCAATTGCATGGTTAGGAAAGATTTTAGACAAGATTTTTAGTACAAAGTACTCTTCTTTATGTCTGATAAGGAAAATGTTGCATGAGTATACATTAGTATATATCAGTACACATTTTATTTTCTTACTGATTTATGAAGTGAATGCAAGGTATCGTATTAACTGCAAGAGCAAGCAACACACTGAATATCTCACAAACATTCAGTGACTTTCTCCTGTAGAGGAGATTTTACTAAAACCTGTCTTCATGGCATATTCATTTTCATGGCAAAGTTTAGTTATCAGTAATTCACATTTCTATAAAAGGTCTGTAAAAATAACCCTCATGCTCTCTTCTGTTGAACAAGCTGTATAAACATAAAAATGGTTTCAAAGGTATTCTGTCTAAAATGTTGCAAGAAATTTGTGTCCCTTCTTCAAAGGTATCTAGGCAAAATAGTAACTGTGCTCTGAGTTTGCCAGTCACTTTCTTCTAGTTTTATGTCTTAAACCACAAGTTGGCAAACTACGGCTCAGGGGCCATATTTGGCCCACGAAGACATTGGATATGACTCATGAAGGTCTGATCCAGCTCAAGGCAGAGCCTCCCACAGCTAGTGGGGCAGCTGGGGACTTGTGGGGGTCACATCCGAGTAGGCCTAGTTTCCGCATCAGCCTCATGCTATCTGACAACTGCTGTGTTAACCCCAGGATTGCCGGCTGTGCCAACATCTCTCCCAGCAGCAATGGTGTCTCTCACAATGGGTAGGGGGGCTGTGAGGCTGACAAGCTGAGCGTTGAAGAGAAGCCCTAAGAAGGATAACATCACCGAGAAGTGAAGGCCTGACGCATAACTTCGCCATGACGCCCACTGAAGCCCTGATCGTGCAGTTCTTTGTTATGAATCTGATCATGTGTATATGTATTTGTGCTGGTTTGATTTGATCTCTAGAGAACGAACTTCTTATATTAGCAAATTTTGTGTTTACTCGTTTGGTTCAGCAACCCGTAGTAAGAGCTCTTAATAACTCGAGTGACGAGTGCGCGGTCTAATTTAGCTATGCCTTCAGCAAGGGGGGATGTCACAACCCAAAGGGTGTGATTTTTGTTTTTGTGTGCTTCGGCACTGCTAAATTGTTCCCACTAAATTATAGCTTCTTTGCACGGTGGAGTTTTCTGCTGCAAAAGAGAACCCCGGTGCAAGGGAGAATTTCCCGCCAATTTGAAGCTTTCTTTGCAGGGTGCATTTCTTTGTTGCAGCACAGAAATGCTCGTTGCAAAGAGTTCCCGCCATTTGTATGCTAATTCGAGTCCCATTATTGACCAGCACCAGGAGGAGGAGACTTCACGCTGTGTGAAGATCTCTAAGCGCTGCGGATCCCTACGGACCCAACGCATTTCAAGCAGGCAACAGAGGTCTGATCAGCCTCTAGCCTCTCCCCGTCGCCGATAGATTCCTAGACGTATCCCTCCCTGCGCGCAAAAGAACCGGACCCACGAAGCCTAGCAAACTTTGTGTGGATGAGTGAGCAGAAGGACCCGCGGAGCCTAGCAAACTTCGTGTGAGTTTATTCAGAGCTCTTTCGGACGAGTACTTTCTTCGGTTGACACGACGGGCTCGCGTGTTTAGAGCCTTCAGCCGGATTGGGCTAGAGTTCACGAGTTTAGAACTCTTGTCCGCCTCTCTTCTTTCCTGTCTGTAACCGCAACTCAAGCAAGTTTTCCAGCCTACACCACGACCATCTTTGGTGTAAGTAAACAATCTTTAAAACTACCGCTAAGCGTTTGTGCCTAATTCCAGCTCGTCGCCCTCCCTCTCCGATCCAGCATGCCCGGGCTGCTGGCCACAGCCCGTGTGCAGCACGAAAAAGGGCTCGGGTCGCTCCCGGCCCACACAATACCCATATCAGTGAAGATTTATGAGTTTGGTATTATAATATTATAATACTAACTTTGCTTGAAGTTCAGAGCTTGGAAGGATTATAGAGATCGGAGAAGAAGAAATGATAAATTCACTCATATTCCTTTTCTGCTCCCTCCCACCAACACATGCTTTTAGCCAAATAACAGATTTATTAGAACATTTCTTCAAAGTGATTTTGATTTTACTGGTAGGGAGGAACCATAAGCAAATATGTCAGTACTTGTCTGAACATCTGACTAAGGTAAAAATGAAGTTAAGTGTAGTCAAATATATCATTTTCTTTAGTGAGTTCTGCAGTGGATTATAACAAGAACATATTGAAGTATTTGTGTGTTTACACCCTGAAATTTTACCTCCTACCACAGCAAGCCAGAGGGAGCCAGAGGGAAACACCACTGCAAGCAAAAGACAGAAAATAAGTATATTTCCTCTCTAGGGCAGTGCCTATCCCACTAAGCCACAGAGGCAGGCTCTGTCTGGTGCACTATGCTCCTAACCCCACATATTTTCCCTTCTTGGCTGCACTCTGAACCCCCACCAAAATGAGGGGTGAAACATGTTCTTTACCTAGTGGCTGCCCTGAATGCCTTATTGGTTAAGGCGCTTAGCTGGGAAGAGGGAGAAATGCATTCAAACCCTTGTAGATTGAAGGGGACCTAAAATCTGGGTGACCCTTTCCCTGGGCAAATGCTCTGATCACCAAGCTCTTGGATTCAAAAGGCGGGAGTACCCTCCATGATCAAACAACCACTCAAAATGTTTCCGCTGACAACACTTTCAGGAATATACTTGCAGTTACATGCTTTCCTGGACAGCATAGGATCACCACAGAGTGAAGGTGACTGTTGCCAATCCTTTCTACATATGCTTAGAAAGACCTATTTGCTGCGTCCAGATGAGCAGGGGCGTGTGCTTGCAACAGCACAAATAGTACTGGCACAAATTTGTGCCGCCACTTTGTGCCACAGTACACAGCCCTGCATGTGTGCTTTGTTGCGGGACACACTGTCTTGCTGTGGGCAAACTGCCCTTGCCCAGCTCCTTTTGGCTCCTGGCATGATGGGGTAACCGGGGCACAAATGGAACATAGAGACGCTCTGGCCAGCAGCCAGAGAGTCTCACTGGAGGACCAAGGCTCTGCTTTTTCCCCTCCATGCTATTCTTTGCTACTGGAAAATCCTGGTAGGAAATTTTATATCCTGCACTGCCAATCTGCAGCATGGGGCATGTTTTAACATTCCATGCATGCAGTTTGTGGTACCACAAAGAGTCGGTGGTGCCACAAACCGCACACCCACTCTCATCTGGATGCAGTCATTTAGTTATGCAGATGAAAATTCCATATTTTCACACATCCCCCTCACCTCCAAATAAGACATGCACTTTGTGGCTTTTTTCCAGAGTCATGGTCTAAAGTTGGTTTTGTCAGAGAGAGGCAGTGCTGCAAGATGCCTGCCAGCTTCTTTCCTGGGCAAAAAGTAGGAAGGATGGCATCCAGTATCAACCTTGTCACAGCCATTCTCAAATTGCCAGCGGTTTTTAGCTGCTCATTTTTGGCAGCAGTGTTTTCATGCTTAAACTCCTCCATGCTTTTATTCTAGTGAAGAAAATCCTCTTAAGACATGTACCCTGATTTTTGAGGGCTGTTTTTTGAGGGGAGAGGTGCATGTAACAGGCAAGGAAATACAGTAAGGTCTAAAAATATGTGTAAGAATGAAAAGAGCCTCTTACACACCTCAATGAAGCCAAACTTATATACATCCTTTAGATGACATAGGATTTAAAGCTACTGATTCAAGGTTTATTTACTTTGCATACACACCTGTATACCTCCCCATCCTATGAAAAAAGATCCTCAGTTGTGATATATTGTACTCATAGACTATTTTAAAATAAATATAATAAAATATGGTTGATGCATATTAAATCATGTGATAGTCACATTTTATAACAAGAACAATTTAAATATACAATGGTTACTTACATCAGTTTTTGGTCGTGCTCCAGATGACACTGGACATGGCAAACCATCTAGCTCTTGGTAGCCTGCCCTCTTACTTGTACAGATTCCCTTTCTCTGATGATCTCTGTGAGGGTTTGTCTCCACTTTAATAGCACACTGTAAATGATAAATTAATACTTAATAAAGAAAAGTAATAAAGCTTTTTAAGAATGGGAACCACAAAAATAATGCAACAATTGGGTTTGTGTCCTTTTTAAGACTTCTACAATGTGAAATATAAATTAGGGCTACAATTTTTTCGTATTTAATTTTTTTTATCTGTTTATATTTCCATATTAGAAATCCAAGTCTTGTCCATAGAGGCACGCAGACAACTATGGCATGAGTAGGAATACCATGTAACAACATAAATGCCAAACAAGAAAAACCCCATTATCTGAGAATAGTAAATAATTTTATTAGAACAACATCCATGACACTTCAAATTAAAAGCTGAGAATGCAGCCAAATCCACTTCCTTGCATTCTGTAATGACTGCGCAGTAGCATTTCATGGAGATGCGCCCAGTATTGTAGAGTTTGACAAGCAATAGGACTTGAACGCGGCCTCTGGATGATTAATGTAAATTCAGCCACATTCCAAATACATAGTACTTTTTTTCTTCTTTTTCCTGGTCACATGTGCAGCTCAATATATTTCTGGTTGTGTTGAAAAACATCTACCTTAAATAATACAGTATGGACTCACATGGCTTCCTGGAATTGCATTTCTTGTTCATTTATAGTTTTAACTATGTATCCTTGATCTTGCATTATTAATGGCTACATGGAAAATTTACTCCTGTCTTTAATAAGGCTCAGCATGTAGCTATGCTACCCCAAAAGGAAAGCTGGCAAAGAATTCTATTACATTTTACATGCCCAAATGGCACTTACCTGGTCATGTACCTGCCATTTGTGCACTTACCCACCATTTGAAGTATTGTTTCTAAGGGTAGCATGGTGCACTGCACATTAGCCAGACAAATTTGTGAGTCTATACACACATACAGTGGGCAAGCATAAACTATGACATTCTACCTGACAAAGACCTGTGACTAACAGGTAGTAGATGTCAGTAGGCAGCGAAAAACTCTGTTATTTTAACCTCAATACAAGAGTGATTAGGGCATTTCCCCAGATACCAAAAGACCCACGTTTAAGATTCACTGGGTGCATCTGCAGGTTCATTAATGTGGTGTAATTACGGCACATTAAGTTTAGTACCTGGAATGACAGGTACTAACTTAATGCGCTATAATTGGCGCTACTGTGCGTTAGTCCAGATGAATTTTTTTTTATGATGTCAAAGACATCATTAGACAAAATCTACTGCACATTAGCATGGGCTTTGCCTGCTGTGCTAATGCACAGAATTAGTTTTCTGCATATTAAGTGTCTCATGTAGACATGCCCACTGTTACACAGGGAAGACTTGACCCTGCATCTTTCTGACCTCTCAGCAGAGTGCTCTGTCATACCACAGTCAGTGTCCTTTACAGCCTCTTGTTGAAGCTGGCCCCCAATAGGAGCAGCCAATAGGAGAAAGATATGTGAGGCCAAGAGGAAGAAATAAAGGTGGCAGGTCTGTGGCTCGAGACAGCTGCCTCTTAAGAGAGAAGGCTCCAAGGTGCACCCTTGCAGAAGCTTTCCCAATGCTCTCCATCCATTTTATTCAGTGTTTACTAAACGCAAAGTGCAGTGGCTCAGCTTTAAAAGGGGAAGCAAAAAGGCTACAGAATAATGCCTAAGCTGTGGCCCAGTGTTGAAAATACTATTGTAGAAAGTCAGAGGCATCCAGGTTTGAGTGCCCTCATCACTAGACTATTGGCATAAACCCTGGAAGAGTTCTTCTCATCTTGGGACTTACATGCCAAATACCTGTCTGGCCTGAGTGCAGCCTCCTATGCATGATCAATAGCTGTGTGGACACTTACATATCCACACTGCAGGTAGACTAGGACTTCATGTAAGTACCAAAAAATGGGAGGCACATGGCTGGAAAACTGCCATGTAGGCATGTAAAGGGAAATAGGATTCTGTCCTAAGAATCTTAGCTCATTCTCTGGCTGTCCTCCTCAATGAAGGGCGGTTTAATCTGCTGCAGGCCAGTAAAGCATTACTGTATTTTCTCACATACAACACATACCTTTTCCCTAAAATTCAGCTGCTGAAAATTGGGGTTAATATAAGCAAAGAAATATAGTAATACCATTTTCTGCCTCTGCTGGTGGAAAGGAAAAATAAAGCTGCACATGCTGCACAGAGGGCAGTGCAATGAACACACGAGGCTCCCTAGCTGCTAGCTTTCTCTTTCCTTCGGCAGAGGCTCATGCTTCAAAAGCTGCTACTCATTTGTTTAGTGCTATTTATCAGTATTTTCAAAGAAAGGTCTTGTTTTCTTCATTCTGCCTTTAAAAAATAAGGTGCATAGCTTAGGTAAGTATCTTATTCGGGAGTGTGATGTATACGAGAAGACACAGTATTTCCCCGGACACATTTGGGAGGCTGTAAGACAGTGGGCGCATCTACATGAGATACTGACTGAGCAGCAGCTGAAAAATACTGTGCAGTAGCATGTCACAGGATGGATGGTGTTAGTATGCTACTGTGCAGTATTATTAGGCTACTGCACAATAGCAGCACTGTAATGGGGCCCCTACGCCGTTACTGAGAAGGGAGGGCAGAGCCCAGGGGGCTGGCAGGTCCAACAAGCCCAGGCACGGGTCAAAAAGGGACGAAAAGACTGAAACAAGCAGTTACAACCAGAGCCAGCAGCAGTGGCAAGGAGCTCTGTAGCTGCCTGAGATCGGCCAGGGCAGGCAGCCCCGGGAGGCAAGAGACCAGCAGGAGGAGGAGACAGAGCCCTATAAACATAGGCCCCACAGGATGCATGGCAAACAAGCTCCTGGCTGAGAAGCAGCCAAGGAGTACCTGAATAACTGCTGGGAGCTACTGGCCAAACTGTGAGTCGTCAGGAGGGCCGAACCTGAGAGGTGGCTGCCCTGGGTACTTGCCTGCCTGCCTCTTGATGGGGGTAAGCTACCCCTGTGGGTTAAAGGGATAGTATCCTATTTTTTTCTGTTTAGTGTTATTCAATTGTCCAGGAGGTGAGAGTTTTGGTTATAGCCAGGGGGCTTTTCTTTTGGTTAGGGTTTGCAACCAGTGGCTTGGATTTGTGATTAAAGGACTGGTTTGGAAGTCCCATTGGTGCCGGAGGGGCACATATCAGCCCTGAGCACTGCCAGGGGCAGGCTCAAGGCATTGTGGATAAGTAGCAAGCCCAGAGCAGGGCACATGTGGGGACCAGCAAACCCAGGGCTCAGAGCAGGGCACAGTGTGGGCGGCAGTGAGCCCAGAGCCCAGAACAGTGCAGACAGGCCTGCAGCAGGAGGAGACAAGGCTTGAAACCAAAGCCAGCCCAGCACAGTAAGCCTAGGCCATGGGATACAGCTGAGAGAAAGAGAGACTGAGGCTGGATGGGCCAAGTCCTGACAAACACATCTGAGCACTCAAGATGTTAGCTAGCTCACTGACCAAGGGCTGGGACCTAGTTTGGGAATCTCTGAGGCAGTCTCTGTCATATGCAGAACACAATAGCTAGTCATGGCAGGAGAGAGATGGGAAATACCCTCAGAAGAGGAAACTGAGCTGGGGCTGGACAGCCACAAGGAGGCATTAATCACCTTTCTTTCCCTCCCCTGGGACAGCGCCTTGTTACAGTCCATTTGCAGGCACTACTGTGCAGTAACTCGTTATTGTACATGTATTTAGTACTTGCCAATACAAGTAGTAAATAAATGCGCAGTAATGAGACTGCACAGTAGCATCTCGTGTAGATACACCCAGTGTTGTAGAGTTTGACAAACAATAAGGCTTGGGCATGGCCTATGGGTGATTTGAGAAGAATTAAGAATATATCAAAGGAAATAGTAAGAAAAAATATAACCTGAAGGTACAGCTTTGTTTTATTGAAAATTATCTCTTTGATATAAAAATCATATTGCTATTTAAATATTATTTCTGTTTTTCTTTAATCAGTACTGTATCGCTGACTGATGCAATTAGACAAACGCAATTCTCAAATCTTTTATTTTTTCTATTACCCACAGTAGATATTGTAAATAAAATGGAAACTAAACAAATGTTTTCTACATAAGTGGAAGATACTGTGCACAGCAAGACATTTTCATGCTGCAAAGTATTTCATATATAAAGTATGAATATAATATTTCTGAGAAATATTTTTCTGAGGGACATCTTAGATGAACTGTTCTACTAAATTACTGTTTTCAAAAACTAGTGAGCTAGTTCTATTATTACTTTCAAATGAAAGGGGAACCTTTTTTGGGTAGTGATGCTTAATACATGTCAGAATAATTTTGGTGACTTTTTCAGAAAATAACTTCATGCCAGGTAGACTGCTTTCTGATTTCTCTTGACCAGGCATATAATCATCTGCTGTGTCCTGTTTCCCAATATAAAACTAAATTGCAGCAACTTGAAGCTTGTAGAAATGCAAAGAGAGGAGTGGCAAATGATTTTTTTTTAATAATTTAAAATTGCAGAATGTGGCTGATAAATAAGTCGTGTCTTAAATACTGTTCACTTTAAAATGTACTAACTCCTCCCTCCATGATTTTACATGCATTTCATTAACAATATGAATTCCTGTCACTCCAAGCTAAATATTTAGTTTTACCCCTCCATGTCAAATTTGTATCCAATAGAGATTTATTCATAAAAAATGTGAGAAGAAACCCCAGAGAATCTTCAAAGAGTGAGTTCAATTAGCAGATTAAAAAAAACCCTTCACATGAAAGTGGACCAATTCAACCAAGAGATTAAATTATAGTCTATCCTCCTGAGATTCAGTATCTGCTGCACAAAAAATATTCTATCATCAATTAAAAATATTCTCGCATCTTCAGGAGATTGATCTTCAAGTGGAAGCTCCAAACATGTTTTTCATATATATGGCAAAGTGACCTATGACTGAAATCTTATACCTCTGACTTATCACATTATCTGAACTTATATATTTCTGTCAAAAACTCTTTTGAAACTACTTGCCTCAGTGATAGTCTATGCAAAGAAATTAAGAGTGAAATGTATGGA